AAAAATATTTCTAAACGCCTTTTTCTTGAAATGGTTGAAATCAATAAGTCTTCTGTTTGTATGAATAAGAAAACTGATATTGATAATCTCAGCAATATATACAGTAACTTACTGGAACTACAAGCGAAAGCTTGACAAAGTAGAGCAGAGTTTTGATAAGGAACAAATGTCGAAGATAAAATAAGCAAAATTAGTGCTCATCGTTAATCATCATCCAGGAATTCATCACAACAATAGTAACATTTTTGCAGCAGCAATTGCTTTACTTTAACATGAAATACTTTATCAGAGGTAATTTGTTCGATCTGATCTGATAATTCATTATACAGATTTATGGCATTATACACAGGGGACTTTTCATATTTCGTTGCCTTATGACTTGGAATACGCAAAATATCACCATGACGTGTGTTGTAACTCTGCATCGTTGCATTTGTTTCTAGTTCATGGATGTTAGACCTAGCATATCCTATACATTTGGGAATGTATATGGAGGGAACTGATAATAATTTTTCCCTAACGTATACTGGTTTACCGCTGTCTCGGCGTTCAATGCTGAGAATCAGTCTAACTATGCGCTTTTGTGCTACGAATACTCTGATGAATTGATTACTGCAACGCCATGCTTTGAAAATGAGCGACATATATGTTAATATGCCATAGCAAAATAGATATCTAGTAGAGCTGCTGTGTTCAAGCATGATTTTATTTAATTTAAAGCAAAGAACATCTTGTTTATAAACTTTCATTCAAGTATGTTTCTGAGCAATGGTCCAAGCACTGACCCTGGCACTCCAAGCGTAACGTCATTGCACCTTGATCTAACATTTTCACATTTTACAGTCATGGTACGCCCTTTGAGGTAAGATTTGATTCATTTCAACAAGTTATTCGGGAAACTGAGTTGGGTTAGTTCTGCAATTAGAAATTTAGGAGATACTGTGTCAAACGCTTTTGTTAGATCAAAAAATAAAAACATTGCGAAATTATTTGAATCCACTTCTTTGTAGATATAATTCAGTAAATGAGTTTGTTGCAGTTTCAATTGATCTACGCTTTATGAATCCATGTTGATCTTTGCCCAGCAGGTATATTACATAAATAAAGGAATGATTGAGAAAGAAAATCTCCATTTCATTCATTCATTCATTACGTATAACTATTTGTTGAATCATTCAACAGTATGTATTATGAATAACTCACCTGTAACAGATATTTCAATTTCTTCCACAGAAACATCTCGGAGGTTCCTGATGGGTTCTTTCTGAGGAAATGAGTTGATAAAAGTTACTTCGTGCCCTTTATAGGCTAATTCTCTCATCAGGCTGAATCCGAGAGTGAAATGACTTCCGGAGTGAACTGGAAATACGCCTAAAATTTTGGCTCCATGGACAAATGACAAAATCGTTCGGATAAATATAATTTCGCGTATCAAATACATTGCTCATTTGAACGAAATGCTTGAAGTACGGTAAAACATACATATATATCGTAGCTGAAAGCAGATAGTAGATAATGGTTGTATACATTTGAATATCGAGTTGTTTTTACCATCAATTGCTTACTTAACCTTCATAAACCCTAGCGGGGTACAGCTGATCCCCAGACATGAATTTTTGGGTATATTTTCTAATATATTTTTTTTACCTAATATCCTTCGAGCTATGCTTCTTAAATATACAGGGTGTTTCAGAATTCGACGGACAAACTTATACCACGTCATTCCTCTTGCAAAATGATGACAAATGAGGTAGGACATGTGTGTCCGGAAATGAGCCGTTTCAGAAATACAGGGCGTTGAAGTTGCAAAATAAAAAGATCCTTTTCGTCGTAGCTCCCGGACTAAAAGGAATAAATTAATGAAACTCAGCAAATCGATTACGAGCTAGAATGTGCTTCCTCCAGTGGTATGTTTGCTTCAGTATCAGTAGCCAGTGGCGTTCCAGCGGGGTAATAGCTTATATTTCCCCCCTTATTTTTTACGCCACTGACTTTATATCCACAACCGTCTTTTTTTTGAATTCCTTGATCAATTTTACGTAAAAACCAAATAAACATTCAC